TAATATACTCATATTTATATATGAAGTCAAAAATGTTCTTAACATATAACTCACACAACGCCGTTCTTTGCGATTCTCATGCCGGCGTTTAAAAAGCTTAAATACAGCTGTTGATCTATAGATTTACTGATTCTGAATGTAGGTATATCTGACTATATATCTTTAACTATAAATATGTATATGTACATATCTATCTATCTGTATCATTCACCATATATCATATATATTCATACTATATATCATATAGTGTCATAGAAATTGAAAACTGATTTCAGATTCAGTTTAAAGCAATTTTAGCTTTAATCCCAGCTTAAGGTCGTTTGTCTGGCCAACGCAGCGACACTCGCATAGTCGATGGGCGAAGGCTGTGCTCGAGCCAGCCCTGCCAGCGGACACCCTGCCCCCACATGAGTGCCGATTTATGGGCAGTGTGCGGCGGGTCGTCCTGTTGGCCATGTAAAACGCTGCCTTGCTGGTCGAACAAGTGAATGGCGTACCATAACAATAGCATAAGTCAATTTTAATTGACTTTTATCGAGCGCACGGAATTTTCGTGGTAATTGGGAAAATTTGTTATAAAAGGCGGCGACGGCGACGGCGACGGCTTAGACTTATTAGTGTCATTTGTTGCATGATGAAGCAAACAAAAGTAAAATAAAATTCAAATGGGGCAAAAAAAACAAAAATGAGAGCAGATGGCTGTAAAAATGACAAGCGCGATCGACAGACAGCAGGACGAACGGACCGGACCCTTCGCTCATTAGCGTACGCCCATAACAAGTAGCCGACCGGTGGGCCGAGTGCTGAGTGCTGCTGGCAGCAGCAACGGTAACTTATGCAAGTTACTTACCTGCGTGTCACAGATTTATGTGGAGCCATTAATCAAATCGGAGGCAACGAACAGCCACCACGAATTTGATTGCGCCGTGGCGACTCTGGGCAGCCCCGAAAATGAGAAGAAACGTAGAATTTATGTTAACAGCCTGCCCGAGCTGGCATTCAATTTGAAATTGGCTGCGAAAAGTTGAGATTGCCTTGGCTGAAATATGATCCGGTCGATAGATGCTTACATTGATGGCTGCTCGGTTGGTTAGTGGCCTCTTACTGGGATGCCCTCTCATCTGATGTGCCGCATTTGATTTGCCATTTTTCACAGATGCTCGTTAAAAACTGGCTGTGGCTATCTGTCGAGTCCTCACACCGTCTGTTCGTACCCTCGACAATCTGGTTGCCTGTGCCTCTGGCCTGCCATTAACGATAATGCTGACAATTATGCAGAGGCTGTCTGTAAGTTTTTGAAGCAGCTGCGACTACTTCAATTCTGCATTGTCAAAGTTTCAGCTGGCAAATGACTTGCAAAAGTTGCCAAAAAACTGAAAGAGAACTTCCTGCTCTACACCTGTGCAAATAGTAGCAATCGGCAAACATTTTAAGCTTAGCATAATCGAAGGCCTACGTGGCGCCACTACAATGACAGAGACATGTATTATTTGTATGCTGCATCTCATTGAAAATGTTAATGCCGATAGACGAAAGGCTGGCATGGGACGTGCTGATGCGATGAGGCTCATTGTGCCCCAGTTATGTCATTGCCAAGCTAATATGCTCATTAAAGGCGACGGCGGTGGCATCAACGAAGATGTCGCTGCAGAGCAGGCTACGTATGTACATATATATATATATACATATATATACACATCTTTTTTTTCGCTTATTTTCAATTTGATGCGGCTTGACAAATTGACGAGCGAGCATGTTTGGTTAGCACATTTGCATATGCTGCACTTGTGCAAACAAAAAACCGAAGAGCGTGAGAGAGAGAGAGAGAGAGAGAGTGGGAGGGGGGGAGGGGGGGTGGAGTGCGAGGTGACTGCAGATTGAGGCGAAAAGTGCAGCGTGTTTGTCGTGTGGGGCAGCATATGTTGTCTATGTGGCAGGCAACTTCGGCCAAGACATATGTGACACATCAATCACTCACACACTCAACACACACACACACACACACACACGCACACACAGACTAACTGGCAGCAAGTAAAATATCTTGTAGACATATTAAAAGTGAATTTCTAGTCACGACTTGAAGCCAACATTTCGGCCACAGGCAAAAACAGCATTTTAAAATTGCCTGAACAAGGACAATGGGACAATGCGAGTGCACAGAAAACAATTAGTTCGTGTAATTACGAGCTGCTCAGTGTTTTTGGGCGCAACAAAAATGAGAGAGAGAGAGAGAGAGGGAGAAAGCCAAACCAAAAACTGTTCGAAATATACAAAACAAGAAAACAGCACTAATATTGTATGAAAAAGAAAATGCAGTGTGTTGCCAAAACATGTGCATTGCATTTGCATTTAAATGAGCGCAAATGGAGAGGGACAGAGAAAGAGCGAGAGAGAGAGAGAGAGAGAGACAGAGGGAGAGCGTGAAACATGAAATGTATTTTGGCATATGTATATGCCACACAGTGTGCCCCTTCAGCTGTGTGTGCATGTGTGTGTGTGTGCGTGTGTGCGTGTGTGTGTGTCTACGTGATTGCAGACAACAGGCCCCAATTGGTAGCTCAAACGCCAGGTTCTGGCCATTGCGCCACGCTGCACAAAATGCCCAAAATTGGTCAGCGTCAGTTGGGGCGTGCTATAACGGAGTGCAGAAGGCAACCTCCAGTCGACCCACTGGACCCACTCGACCCACCATCTGTCCAAGTGTCGCCCACAATGCACGCATTTGCAATTGCAACTGAATGCGCATAAATTAGTGGTATTGCCGAACTTAGCAGCAACGACAACCAGAACGACAACGACTCGTACGACAACAACATCAACATCAACAAGCGACTACAATGACAGTTCTGATGACAGTGGTCACAGCAGAGCGAGAGACAGACAGATGCAGACAGAGAGAGAGAGAGAGAGGGAGCGACAGAGAACGGGGGACCCTGAACAAGGTCCCGAAGTGTTCAAAACCAGACAACAAAAGCACTTCCAGCTAATAGACCCAAACTCATTTTAGAGCTCA